CTGGCTGGTGGGGACGGTGGGTCGTCCGACGCCCGATCGGGCCCTTTCTGACCGCCGCAGCCCGATTGACTGGCTTCCGTCGTCGGTGCCGGGGCAGCGGTGCGCACTGGCCAGCCAGCCCCTGGAGCCTTAAACTACTGGCATGGACGCGGGGGCCGAGCCCTGCAGCGGAGCCAAGCCTTATCGTGCCGGCCTGGCTTCAGCTCGCCTTCCCTCCACCACCTTCTCACTCCGCACCTCTCCTTCCGCCTCCTACCTCTTCCTCATCGCCCTCAACACTACTCTCGTCTTTGTCGCCACCGCTCCTTCCATCAGTCCGCGACCGTTGGCGTGCATCAGCGACGCTGACCCAAAAGCACCACTGAGCTCGCCGTCCGCCATGCCGCAAGAGACGCTCATCTTTCCGCCCCTCTACTGCGTCGGTGCGTTGCGTGCCCGCGCCGCCCGAGGTGCCGTGCCGAGCAGCGGATCCTGACGCCTTGTCTGCCTGTCCGCACTTTGCCCTTGCTGTGCTCGTACCCTGCTCGCCACCCCCTGGCCCCGCCCAGTCGGCGCGTACCGCCTCGCCCACGACCCGGCGCTATGGAAGCCCATGTGGGCGAAATGCTCAAAGGCAGCAAAGCAGGCCGGCATTGCAGGCGCAGTCTGGGTGAGTCGAGGCGCGTCCGCGCAGCCCGCTTGATCAAGCATGGCCCACGAGATCGCTGACCCCCGTGTATGCTGCCCCGCTCCGCCCCGCAGGCCGTCCTCACCTGGCCGCTCCAGAGGCTCTTTGTCTACTACTTCATGTCGGCCTCGGCCTCGGTCACCGGTACGAAAGCGTGAGTCCAGGCGCGTCCAGTGGATCGCGCTTCGAGCGCTTGCATGTGCAGAGGAAGGCTCATGCATCTGACGCTTGTCGCTGCCCTCATTCTCCGGCGCCCCACCTCCTCTGCCGCTGATCCAGCATCTATGAGACCTTCGTCAGCACCGCGGACCGCGTCGACGACCCGTTGCCCTTCCGCATCCCCGTCCCCAGCCTGTACAGTGAGTCGATAGCCCCACGGCCGGGCGTCCGGCTTCATCGCAGCATCCCAGCAGCGTCTGACCTCGAGCCGCCTCTGCCTCTGGTCACCCTCCCGCACCCTCCCGCCTTCCGCGCCAGCCTTTGCCACGTTTATGTTCGTCATGGGCCAGGTCCACACCATCATGGAGTTCTGGCTGCGCCGCCGGCTGCGCGAGTGCAGGAACACGGCCTACTCGGCCACGGTCCGGTCGCGCGGCAAGCAGCCCGACTGGTGGACAGAGTACTTTGAAGAGTTCTCCAACCCGCCCACCGAAAAGGCCATCAAGGACGCCAAGAAGCAGGGCTTCTACATGAAGCTCGCCAGCCCCTTTGTCAGGATGGTCGTCCTCAAGGGTGGGTCCCTCGATCGCTGCTGGCGTTGGCCGTGGTCCCGTACAGGCGGCGGCTGACCACGATCCCTCTCGCCCTGGACCTTCACCCGCAGTCTTTCTGCTCCCCGTCGACTTTGTGCCCTGTGAGTCTAAACCGGCGCCGCTTGTGTCGAGACTGGCCGATTCTGACCGGTCTTGCATGCTCCCGCTTTCGTCGGGCGCTCTGCCTCGCTTTGCCCTCCATCGCCGCTCCCGCTCCCCTCGTCAGTCTTCGGCATGGCGCTCGGTGCCGCGCTGCGGTCGCTCTCGTTTGGCCGCCTCCTCCACCAGCCCTTTTTCGAGGCCAAGAGGATGTCGCCGGCCCAGGTCGAGCTGTGGGTCACCGAGAGGCAGGGCTACTACCGCTCCTTTGGCTTCGTCGCCGCGCTCATGGAGCGCGTCCCGCTCCTCGGCCTCGTGTTTTCGGTGTCGAACCGGATCGGAGCGGCCATGTGGGCGCACGACCTGGAGAAGCGGCAGCAGGCGATGCGCACCGCCGGCCCGGACGCCAAGCTCACCTACAAGGAGAAGCCGACGCTGCGATCGATCGCCAAGGAGGCCAACATGTCGGCGCCGCCGCCGTCGTCGGCACCGTCGATGTCGCCCTCGAGGACGGAGCAGTTCACCGGTGAGGGTCTGGCCGTGTTGCGATCGCATGTGGTGTCGTCGCCCTCGTCGATGGGCCGCCCCCTCCCGCCGTCGCCGTCGTCGTCGTCATCGGCCGAGGCCGCGACAGCAACGGCAGCTCCAGCGGCGCCCGCGGTGATTGAACGGGCAGCAGTGTTCACACACTTGTCGTTCACCTTTCCGTTGAAATTGATCAGCCCCGGAGCCTCTTCCAGGATCGCTACCCGAAAAGTCTTTGAGGCAGCGCAGCGGCGCGCCATCGACGGACGGCAGCAAGGCGGCACTCTGGCAGCAGCAGCAGCAGTAGCCGGGACGACAACGACGGCCACAACGACGGCAGCGACGACGGCAGCGACGACGGCAGCGACGACGGCAGCGACGACGGCAGCGACGACGGCAGCGACGACGGCAGCGACGACGGCAGCGACGACGGCAGCGACGACGGCAGCGACGACGGCGACGGCGACGGCAACGGTGAACCCAAAGGCGGTGGCGGCGCTCTACGTGGTCGGCTACGGCGGCGGGCTGGTCAGCGGCGATTCAGTCGACCTCGACATCGACGTCGGCGAGCATTGCGCCATGCTGCTGCTCACGCAGGGCAGCACCAAGGTGTTCAAGATGCGGCAAAAGAGGTCGACACCGGCAGCGGCGGCGACGACCGAAGGAGTTGCCGAGGCAAGGGGGGGCCAGCAAGACGAAGGCGAGCGGCGGGACACGGCAGACGCAGCGGCGAGGGCGGCGGCGTCGCTCGTCACCCGACAGGCGTTCCGCTTCCTGATCCGACCCAGGTCGACGCTGATCCTGCTGCCGGACCCGGTGACGTGCTTCGCCCAATCGCGGTACGACCAGGTCCAGCGATTCGACGTGCGCGATCGCACGACGTCTTCACTCGTCGTCCTCGACTGGCTCACGCCGGGTCGAACGGCGGTACGTCAGCAAGGCGGCGGCGGCGGCAGCAGCAGCAGCTCGGGCAGCGGCAACGCCGGCACTGGCGTCGAGCGCTCCCCGTACGCCACGCGACCTCGGCAGCCGGAGATATGGTCGTTTGAGTCGTACAGGAGCAGGAACGAGGTGCGGATCGGCGGCAAGGTGGTGGCGCGCGACGTGCTGCTGCTCGAGCAGGACCTCGAGATTGACGTGCGGCGCGACGGTAGCCCGGCCTCTGCCTCGACGACGACGCAGGTGCCGGACAACACGGAGCTGGCCCGGCGCAACGGGCCGTACGGCTGCTACGCCACGCTGCTCCTCGCCGGTCCGGATGCGCGCAAGACGATCAAGCGGCTGGCGCGCGAGTTCGAGGCGATCCAGCAGCGCGTCGTCACCTCGTCGACGCCGGAGCTCATCTGGAGCCTGAGCCTGCTCGAGGTCGAGCCGACGTCGGTCAAGCACGGCGACCACGAGGGCGAGGGCGAGGAGGATCTGGGATGCGTAGTTGTCAGGATCGCGGGCAGGGACAGCGAGGCGGTGAGGATGTGGCTGCGCTCGCGTCTCGTTGACCTGAAGGACGTCGTGGGCAGCGACCTGTACCGGCAGGCGCTGGGCGAGTGAGTGGAGGCGGCGGGTGCGCCACCGAGCAGAGCCGGGCAGGCGCCTGCAACGTCAATATTTTCGCGGGAATAAACGAGGGCGAATGATATTCCTTGCAGCAACAGCGGCAGCGGCGCGACGACCTCAGGCCGCTGTGCAACACACCGCAACACTCTACAAACACTTGCTGGACACCGTTTCCGGGGGGCTGGGCATGCGTTGGCGCGGGCGCGCGCACACTCAACGGGCAGCCGAGACGGCGCTAACAAAGCCACCATCGACAGCGACGACCTGACCGGTCATGAAAGCGTTGGAAGCGAGGAGGAGTACGAGACCGGCGAATTCGGACTCCTGTCCGCCTCGACCGGCCGGGTTGGCGTGGGCGCCGAGGTTGTTTGGGTCGCTGCGACCCTGGTCGTCGGACTGCTTTGTCGTCATCTCGCTCGCAAAGAGGCCGGGGGCGATGGCGTTGAACCGCAGACCGAGGTTGGTCCGAAACCGCAGCTCGTGCGACATCATCTGCGTAATGTGGTTGGCCGCTGCCTTGGAGGCGTTGTAGGCGTAGTGCTGTCCGGTCGAAGGGGTCGATTTTGCGCGGAGCGGTGAGAGAGGGGAGGGTAAGGATCAAAGCGGGTGAGTCGATACGATCCTCCTAACCCATCGCCGACTGACTTCCCCCTTCTCCCCTGGCATGGCATGGCATGGCATGGCATGGCATGTCATCGGCAGGCATCGCCCGACCAACCGACCAACCACCCGACAAACGGACGGACACGTACGTTCTGGCACATCTTGACGATGCCCGAGATGCTGGTGATGTTGATGACGGACGCGCTGAACGCCTTGCCGGCCGCGCCGGCGGGCGGGGCGGCGTTGGCGCGCGAGAGGAGCGGGAGAAAGGCCATGGTGGCGAAAAAGACGGCGTGCGTGTTGACGCGGAAGAGGGCGTCCCAGTCGGCCACGCTCTCGTTTTCGAGGTGCATGCGCGAGTACTCTTCCACGCTCAGCTTGGACGGGTCGTCGCCGAGGTTGGTTACTGGTCCCTCCACCCCCGCGTTGCTGCCGGCAGGGGGGAGAGAGAGGGGGAGAGGGGAGAGGGTAAGGTGTTAGAGGGCGATGCAATGGGGAGGGAAGCAAGGCGAAGCGGGGACTCACTTGATGAGGACGTGGAGCTTTCCATCGGCCTTTTCGACCTCGGCGGCGATGCGGATGAGGTCGTCCTTTGATCCGACGTCGCCCTGGATGCTGTTGTGGGTGCCGAACGGAGAGAGAGAGGGAGAAAGGTTCAGCCTGGAGCCCGTTGGATGGGGCCCATGTCGTCTGGCCTGGCCTGCTCTGCGTCGACGCTCCTGCGCGACACTCACGCGACGAGGCTGCCCTTGAGGCCCTGGGAATGGGCATTGACGGCCTGATCGAGCTTCTCCTTTCTCCTACCCGTGATGTCTGCCGGCGGGAGGACGGAGGCAGGCAGAGGGGGTAGCATCAAAGGAGGAAGCGAGGCCGGAGCGGAATGTCAGTAGTGGTGGTGTGATTTCCCCCGCTTGCTGCCACGATGACCGCCCGCCGGCCACTGTTACTGACAGACTTTGGCTCCGTTTGTGGCGAGGGCGAGGGCAGCAATGAGGCCCAGGCCGGTTCCGCCGCCCGTGACGAGGGCGACGGCGCCGGTGAGGTCAAAGATGTTGGAGGCGGCGAGGGGTTGCGACATGGCGAGCGAGCGAGCGAGCGAGCTTTGAGGATGTGAGAGTGTGGTGGAAGAGAAAGAGGAAGACGAGGAGCAGGTGAGAAGAACAAGGAGCGAGGCTAGGACGAGGAGGAGGGCGAGGAGGGCATGGGCGTCGGACACGGCCATCGAGGGTGAGCAAAGCAGCACTCGCTCGGCAATCTGCGCCCCCGTCAGCCAGCCACGCACGCTCAGGCCAGCCTGTCAGGGTCTGCCAGGACAGGCCAGCCAGCCAGGCCCAGGCACGCCGGCAATCTCATCTCACGCGCCGCTGCATCGGCAATCCCTGCATCCCTGGGCGAGGCTGGACCCTACGACGATGCCGGCTCCGAGGTACGCTCGTCTAGCCTGGTCGAAACGAGATGCGGGTCCGAAGAGGGTCGGGGCCTGGGCCGCGCCCAAGGCAATGGATGCCGTCATGCCCGGTTGTCGGCCGAGTGACGCCTCGTCAAGCTGCGAGCCTGCCATGCCTCCACTCCGGTTGTGTCAAAAAGACAGGCGAATTGGCCGCTGCTGCGCTGCTGCCCCGCTTGGCCGCTTGCCTTGCCTTGCCTTTGTCGCCGCCGCCTCGCCACTCTTCTGTGGGCAGAGGCGCCCACTCGCAAGATACACATGGTCGGCCAGGTGCGGCCTGCCTCGCTCGGCCTCATACACGGCGGCGAGCGAGTCTTCCTAGCCAGCCAGGCCTACCCTACGCCCCGCCTCGCCCCCATCCTCGTCCTTGCTGCTGGCAACAACTCTAGCTCCCCTCTAGACCTTCCCACCACCACCATCTCGACCCACCCCCCCTTTCGGCATCCCTCATCTCCCTACGCTTCTCCGCCACACCTGCCCACCATGTCTGCCCTCCCTGCCGGCACCCCGCCCCAGAAGCTCGCATGCGACCCGCCCTTCAGGCACGGTCACGTCGGAAGGTAGGTTGCTGCCCCCTCTTTTTGGCCCCTACGCTCCCGCCGCCCTCGGCTCGACCCCCGCTCACTCTTCCCCCCTTTCTCCCCCTTCCCCCCCCCCTCCCCGCCTCCCTCCAGCTTCCTGCGCCCCAAGGCGGTGCACGATGCGCGCGCCGCCTTCGCCAAGGGCGACATCACCGCCGCCGAGCTGCGCAGCGTCGAAGACGCCGAGATCAAGACGCACGTGCAGCAGCTCCTCGACCACGGCATCCGCGACATCACCGACGGCGAGTTCCGCCGCGAGTACTTCCACCTCGACTTTCTCAAGCACCTCGAGGGCGTTACCATCACCAAAAACACCCTCGAGCAAAAAGAGGGCCGCGTTCCCCCCACCCTCTCGGTGACGGGCAAGATCCGCCACCCAAAGGACAGCATCGAGGTGCGCAACTTTGAGTACCTCAAGTCGCTCGTCCCCGCCGACAAGCACGGGCAGATCAAGATCACCATCCCTTCGCCCACCATGTGCCACTTCCGCGGCGGACGCGCCGCCATCTCCACCGAGGCCTACCCGGACCTCGAGGACTTCTTCTCGGACCTCGCCGCCGCCTACCGCCACGAGATTGACGCCCTCTACGCCGCCGGGTGCAGGTACGTCCAGCTGGACGACACCAACCTCGCCTACCTCACCGACGACGCCATGCGCCGCGGCGCCCAGGAGCGCGGCGAGGACCTCGACAAGCTGCCGCACGACTACGCCCGCCTCATCAACGCCTCGCTCGCCTCCAAGCCGCGCGACATGTGCGCCGCCATCCACCTGTGCAAGGGCAACTTCCGATCCCAGTTCTTTGCCCAGGGCTCCGAGCAGGGCTACAACCCCATCGCCCAGGTCCTGTTCCAGAACCTCAACGTCGACGCCTTTTTCCTCGAGTGGGAAAACGAACGCTCCGGCAAGGACTTTTCGGCGCTCCGACACCTCCCCGATACCAAGACGGTCGTACTCGGCCTCGTCTCTTCCAAGCTGGCCCAGCTCGAGGACAAGCAGACCCTCATTGACAAGATCAACGATGCCGCCCAGTTCGTGCCCCTCGGCACGCGCCAGCTCGCCATCAGCCCGCAGTGCGGCTTCTCGTCGACCGTCCACGGAAACGAAATCACCCACGACGACCAGTTCCGCAAACTCGCCCTCTGCGCCGACGTCGCCGAGGCCGTGTGGGGCGCAAAGTAAGCCCCCGCGCCCGCGCCCGCGCGCCGCGACGACGACAAAGACGAGACGCTCTTTGCCCTAAGGGCCCACGCTCCATAGAAACCGAAACAAACCGATTCCAGATGCTACAGGCCGGCCTGCCGGGATGGGAACGAAGCGACAGAGTCACCGCCAGAGGGAGATAGATAAATTTTACATGCCCTTCAACCTTGCCAGCGTCGCGCCGCCGCCGCCGACGACGACGACGACGACGACGATAAAGGGGCGACAACGACGGCGACGAGAACCAAGGGGAGAGTGGGGCGGGGGGTAGTGTACAGTGCCAGCCAGGACCAATCGGGTGTGTCCCCGCAAAGGGGTGGCGAGGAGGGGGATGGAACGCGGGACGTAGACGGCGGAGGCCGAACCAGGACGAGGAGGCGAGAGGTCACGGGAGAGGAGGGGAGAGGAGAGGCCGCCCAAGTGAGAGCTATCCCGCTGCCGCTGAGCCGCCTCGTCCTCGTCCTCTGGGTCGTCCTCGCCCTCCCTCACCCCGCGCCGCCGCGCCGCCGCGCCGCCGCGCCGTCTACCTTCGGCCGCGCAGCGTGCGCTCAATCGTGAGGCGGCCCTGGGCCATGCGGTTCTCGAGCTCACGGATCTGCCGCTCGCCCTCGCTCCGCATCTCGGCGGCCGCGGCGTCGGCCTTGAGCTGCAGCCACTGGCCCACCGTCATGGACCGCTCCTCGTCCGTCAGCTCCAGACGGTTGAGCGACTCGAGCCGCGCCAGCGGCGACCGCAGCGGCGCCGGCGACGACGAGCGCTCTATCAGCGCCTCTGCTGCCGCCGCTTCCGACGACGGCATCTCGACATCGCCATTGCCATCGTCGTCGTCACTGTTGCCGCCGCCGCCGTTGTCGTCGGAGCTGCGCTGCGCCGCCTGCTTTCGGCCGCGGCCGCGGCCCTTGCCCTTGCCCTTTTTGGCCGGCGCGATTGTCTCGTCTGCGGGAGCTTCGGCAGGCTCGTCGTCGTCGATGGCCTCATCTTGCTGCTGCTGCTGCTGCTGCTGCTGCTGCCGCTGCCGTGACACCTCGGGCTCAATGACGACCTCGGCTTCGATCGCAGACGACTCTTGCGCGTCCGTCTCCGCGCCCGACTCCGGCTCCGGCTCGGTCTGCGCCTCGACGTCGGCCTCAGTCTCCGGCTCGGTCTCGGTGGCAGCGTCCTCTTCGGCGGCGCCCTTCTTCTTCTTGTTCTTCGACGACGATGCCGCCGCTTTGGCCGTCGCGCCGCCTCGCTTCGGCTTGGCCGCCGCTGCCTTCTTTGCGGTCGCCTCATTCTCCTTTTTGGTGGCCTTGGCCTTCGATGCGGCCGCCTTGCCCTTCTTGGGCTTCACGCTGGGCTCTGGCAGGTCGTGGTCCTCGCCGCCTTGGTCGCGGCCGCCTCCTCTGGCCTCGACGTCGGTGGTGTCGTCGTCGTTGTCGCGGCCAGCCTTGCCCCTCTTCTTGGGCTTCGGGGCGGGTTCCGGCAGGTCGTAGTCGTCGTCCCCGTCGATGCCGGCGTCAGAAGCGGCGGCAGAGGCAAGCTCGACGACTGTGCCGTCGGCCTTCGCGCCGGCCTCTTCGATATCTTGCTCTTCAACGGCTTCCTCGGCCACCGGCGGCGGCGACGGCGGCGGCACCTCTTCCGCCTCTTCTGCCTCTTGCTCTTGCTGCGCCTTCTTGGCTCGACTGCGCGTCCGAGACGCTTTCCTAGGCACAGGCGTCGGCTCCGCGGGCGGTTCCGGCTCTGGCTCCGGCTCCGGCTCCGCCTTGCTGGCGCCCGCCTCGCCGTCGACTTCGGACTCGGATGGTGACCGAGCGGGCGCCTTTTTGGACTTGCTAGCGGCTCGGCTCGCCGTTCTGGTCACCCTGGCAGTCGTGGGGCGTCCCTTGCCGATCGCAACCTTGGCCGTGGCCGCCTTGCCCTTGGCGGGGACGTCGTCGTCGTCGTCGCCGTCGCCGTCCTCTGCGGCCTCCTTCTCCTTCTGTGCCTTGCCCCTGCCGCGAGTTTTGCCACCGCGGGCATCATCGTCGTCATCGTCGTCGTGGCCGGCGTCCTTGCCATCGCCGTCGTCATCCTCGTCATCCGCTATCCTCTTCTTGACCTTCGTCGACGCCGTGCGGGCCTTGCGCACCGCCTTTTTGGCCGGCTTGGGTCGCTCCTCGACCTCTTCTTCGTCTGCTGCGGACGACTCGTCATCGTCGTCGTCGCCGCCTTTCCTTTGCTTCGCACCGGCGTCGGTGTCGGCCTCGCTGTCGGTGTCTTGCGGGGCCGCACCGGCGCGCCCCTTTGCCGCCTTGCCCCGGCTTACCGTCCGCTTTGAGTAGGTCGAGACGACGCGCTTCGGCCTGCGCGCGAGCAGGGTGTCTGCGTCGTCGACAGCCTCGTCCGCGTCCGACCCGCTGGCCTCGGACTCGACGAGGGTGCAGGTGAAGAAGGCGCAGCCGGGCTCGCGCTCGCGGTGCTCCTGGATCGGGTCGTCGCCCTTTTCCCAGCCCTCGAGCGCCTTTGAGCAGTAGAGGCAGGTGGCCGTATCTTCCTCGCCCTGCGTCGGGGTGAAGTAGAAGCCGGCCTCGGCGAGCTTCTTGCTGGTGGGCTTCCATCCCTTCTTGCCGTCGTAGGGCCAGCTGGAGGCGAACGTCTCCTTTCTCGCTTCGGCCATCTGCTTGCTGTTGGGCATCAGTTCGGCCTGGCTGCACGTCCAGCGCGCAGCGTCGTCGCCGTCATTGTTGTCTGAGCTGCGGACCGATCTGAGTGCAGCCTTGCTTCGCCACATCCGGCACCAGGCGTTGTCCGGCAAGACGTCATCGAGCTTCTCGAGGGGGTCGTCGCCGGCGCTCCAGCCGGAGACGGCGGTGTCGTAGAGGTAGTGGACGGTGCGATCGGGCGAGCCGTCCTCGGGCGCGAAGTAGAAGCCGTATCTGGCCAAGGCGGCGGGCGAAGGGAAGCTCGAGTTCTTGGCGGTCGAGTGGGGCCACGTATGCGATTCGGAGCGGGTCTGCTTGCGCTTCGACGACGACGACGACGAAGCCGCCGGCTTGAAGCTGGCGACACGCTCGGCTTCGATAAACATGGGGTCCATGCTGTCGTCCTGGCCGGATGGCGATGTCAGAGGAAGGGGACGGTCGGAAAGGAGGCTGGATGCCGCGTGTATGCGCTGCGCACGTGGCACGCCGGTTCAGAGAGGACGGAGGTCGCGGCGGGGGAGATGGCCCTGTTTCGGGGCGGGTTGCGTGGACACGATGTGTTTGCAGGAAGGTTCGAGCTCTATACACATGTGCAGAGAGCGGTGGCGATGGCGGCGGTGGTCGAGGCGGTGGTGGAACAGAGAGGGGCCGAGGTGTTGGTCGAGAGCCCGCCCACCCAGGCAGGCCAGACCAACACCCTGCAGGCCAGGCTGGCCCAGCCTGCTTCGCGTCGTTGACCGGGGCGCGGGTCAGCCGCCCAACCAGCCTACCTGTTTTTTCCAGCCACGCCAGAGCCAGAGCCAGAGCCACCGGGCCAGCCGAAAATCAGGCAGCCTGAGCCAGCCCGAGAGCCGGGGGGTCGCCCTCGCGTCTTCACGTGTGGGCCTGGGTGGAGGAGGGCAGGCCGCGGGCTGGCCTTGGCTCGTCTGGCCGAGGGCGGCTTGGGCGCTGGCTGGCCGGCCATGCCTCCGAGCCTTGCCCCGCTTCGCTGGCCAGCACCACCATCCCTCCGCGCAACTGCTCAACTCACTCTCACTCACACTCGCACTCGCACTCGCACCCGCTCTCTCCCTATCTCTATCTCTCCCTCTCCTGTTGAGCTGCCGAGCCCATCGATTCCGCACAGACGACCCCGTCAATCGGCGATTGAGTCAACCGCCGCACCGCCGCCGCCCTTCCGCACCACACCTCTGCTCGGCATTGTTCCGCCTGCGACGGCCTTTCCGTTGTTAGAATTGCCTGCCCGCCTGCTCCATCTCCCATCCAGCCAGCTCTCACATTGATTCCGCCTTGTCGCCGCCGCCATCCGCCTCCGCATGTCTGCTATGAACCCTCAGACGTCCCTCTAGAACCAGCTCGGACCGCCACAGCGAGCCCGACCCTTCTATGCTCGCTCATCCGTTCCCGGCCCCATCCCTCACCTCGGCTTCATCCGAAACCATCTCTGCCCAACGGACCGGCCGTTCAGCTAGCCCTAGCCCGGCCTACCTGCTTGCTCCGCCAGCGCTGCTGTCTATCTGTCTCGTCTCGTCTCACAGCTCAGCCGGCGCAGTCAAACCCCATCGCAATCTAGCGCGGCTCGAGTCTTTATCCATCCACGCCCACCGGCTACCACCACCACTACTACTCTGACCCCCCTCTTCGTCCTGCAGCATGGACTTCAGCTCCATTCGGCGTAGGCCTGCCGCCACCACCTACGCCAGGCGCTCCCGCCTCCCCGCCAAGCCACAGCCGGATCCCCCGGGGGCGTCGTCTGATCCGTCCGGCGACACCTCTGACGAGGATGCAGAGCGCCTGCAATCACCATCACCGCCACCTCCGCCGCCACGGCCGGCCAAGCAGCCTCGCGCTACGGCTGCACGCGATGCTGCCCGCACCTCGCCACGTAAGGTGGCCCCGCCGAGGCTGGCCCGGACCAGTTCGGCGACATTCGAAGCGGCCTCGTCGGAGGCCTCCGAACGGCCAGAGCAGGTGGAGCCGGGGACAGGGACAAGAACAGGGACAAGGACAGGGACAAGGACAGGGACAAGGGAGACTCCGACAGCCGAAGCGCCATCGGTCCGTTCTCCCGCATCGCGGGCTTCGGCCTCGCCGAGCAAGAAGGTCGTCCCAGCGCCGCCCCGTAACGGCACCGCACGCCCGCCGCAAAAGGCGAGGGCCTCGGCATCGCCACAGAAGTCGGCGGCCAGGGTGCCGCTCCCGTCGAGGCCCGCAAAGGACCTCGACGACATTTTTGAGCTGCACAGCCCGAGGCTCGACGACTCCGAGTCGTCATTCCCCAACGGGAGCAGCCAGTTTGCGGACGCTGACAGCAGCAGCAGCCCCTTTGGCATGTCGACGGTGACGGCGAAGGCGTCGACATCAAGGGCGACGAGGTCAGCCGGCCCGAGCTACAGCGCGGGCCAGTCCGACTCTCCGCTGCTGCTGGGCAACACGCTTCCGACGCTGGAACGGCCCTCGTCGCCCAGCCTCGGCGCCGCACCGTCGGCCAAGCGGGCCAAGCTGTCGCAGCGGATGGCGCCCCGGTCGTTGAAGCGCGTGCTGACCACCGAGGCCGATGTGCCAGGAGATGCGACGCAGCCGCGCAAGCGGTCCCTCCGGCGCACAGAGACCGACCCGCTGGCCGGAAGGCACCTCGATCCAGACCAGCCGGGCGAGGTGCAGTCGCAGCCCAGCCTGCTGACGCCCATCTTGAGCCAGGGCGTCGACCAAGACGACGGTATCAGCGCCAGCACCGGCCACCGTTCGCTTCCCGGCTCGCCCAGGCGCATCCGGCAGACATCCGAGGGGCCCCAGATCGACGCGGCGTCGCGCAAGAGGAACTATGCGGCCATCTCGCAGGCACCCGCCGCCACGGCCAAGAGGACCTACGGCAACCATCGAAGCTTTCTGGCCGACCGCATCGAGGACCACCTGCCGCCGTCCGATCTAGACGGGCAGACGTCGGCCGCGCGCTCGACCAACGGCCATGCGTCGGCGACCACATCGAGCACTACGAGCAACGCCACCACCGCCACCACCAACCACCACCACGACAAGGACAGCAACATCGAGGATGAGATCGAGAGCCAGATCCGGGGCTCGCAGCCATCGCAGCCGCCTCTGCCGCCGGACGCGTCGACGGCGATCGCCTTTGGGCTGCAGCCGACGCGCGAGAGCTATGCCGACCTGCTCAAAAAGTGGGGCGACAGCTACGGCGACGAGGACATTGAGTGGGACGAGTCGCAGGATCCCACGCTCGCCCTCAAGTCGATCACGTCGCTGCGGTCGGCGGGCGAGCTGCGGCGGTTCAACGACGACCTCGAGTACCTCTTTTCGGGGCTGAGCCCGTCGGCCAGCATCTCGGTGCGGCGCAGCTCGGCCGTCGAGCTGGTGCGCCTGCTGTGCGGCAGCCCGGACGCTTCGCTCGTCGTCGATGGCATCCACGTCGACGGGCCGGCCGAGGATCCCTCGGCCTCGGCCCAGTCGGCCGAGTTCCTGCGCAAGCTCCGGGCGGTCGAGGGCATCGTGAGGGTGTTTGACCTCTTCCGTGAGGCCGGTGCGGGGAGCGCCGTCGACGACGTGCTCGACCTTGCCTTGGCCATGTTTCTCGGCAAGGTCGCCAAGAAGCCGTCGACGGCCGAGCCGCTGCTGCGCGAGCGCCGCACCGAGATGCTCGAGTGCCTCTCGTCGATGCTCACCCGCGCCTCGCGCTCCGGCGACGAGCGCAGGGACGGCCTGGTGCGCCTCCGGCTGACCGAGACGTCGTCGGGGGCAAGGCCGCTGGCGAAAAACGACCGGTCGGTGCTGCGCGAGCTGCGGTCGACGGCGATCCTGTGCGGCCTCTTCCTCTCTGGCGCCACGCACCCGAGCCTCCGGAACCTGGTCCTCGGCACGCTCTGCTCCCTCTCGTCGCTGCACAAGAAGATCGGCGCCGAGGTTCTGCGGCAGATGGTCGAGCCGGAGCCCGGTATGGACGAGGTGCCGACGCTGTTTTCCGCCGTGCTGCAGGGCTACATCGCCGAGGGCCGCAGGTGCCAGCAGCGGCTGGCTGACTACTCAAAGGGGCTCGACCTGCTCTCGCACAACCCCTTCGACACCTGGCCCGACTTTGACGGCGTCGACCTCTGCGTCCGCTTCCTCGACCGCGGCATGGAGATGATCTACGTCGGCACCGGCTCGTCAGTCGCCTTTGATCGCGACGTCCTCGACGGCACCGTCAGCATCCTTCGCGCAGCGCTGCAGGTGGCGCCGCTGTCGACATCGCGCGCCATACTAGCACAGCAGAGGGAAAGCGGCGGAGCAGGGACCAGGGACGCGCAGGCCGTGGCGGAGCGGGTGCTGCAGGTCATCGCCGGCGTCGTCAAGCTCGTCCTCGACCTGACGCAGATCGACGCCGAGTGGGCGCACGGCTTCGCCGCCTCGACCCGGCTGATGGCCACACTGATCCGGACCATGTTTCTTGCAGAGGCCTCGGCTGCCAGGAAGACGACGACAAGAACAAGCTCAACTTCGGCTCCGACGCCGGCGAGGGCAGGGACCCGAGTCGAAGCGGATCGCTCGAGTCCCGAGGCCGGCTCGTCCCCAGAGGCGGCGGATCGGTATGCGCAGAGGATCTCGGCGCTGCTCGACGATCTTGTCCACCTCTCGCTCGCTGCGCTCACCAACCTGCTGCTCAAGCAGGGCGGGGCGACGCGGGGCACGCTGCTCAAGCTGCGACTCAACCCTCGCTGCTGGCACCGCCGGGCCTGCGCGGTGCGATGCTGCTGCGAAGCCGAGAGTGAGGGCGAGGGCGAGGGCGATGTTCGCGATGACGGTGACGACGGCAAGGTCGCCGACGCGCTGTCGCTGCTGGCGCGCCTCTTCTTGCGCAAGCAGAAGCTGGCCGAGCGAGACGGCGACGGCGACGCCGCCTACCTGTCGAACTCGCTGGCGACGGCCATTGCTCAATTTGCCGTGGGCGGATCGACGTACTTTGAAGCTGCCCAGGCAAAGGCCAACGCGGCGTTCATCGACGTCTACGGCGGCGGCGGCGGCGGCGGCAAGGAGGTCCACGGGAGCGGCTTTGCGGCGCTGCTCGACGCCGTGGAAAAGTTTGCGACCGACATGCAGAGGGACGCAGCCAAAGCCGACGCCGACGGGTCGAAGGCGGCGACCGAGGACGCGGACGCGGCCGTCGAGAGGATCGAGTCGGAGGCAGCGGGGCGGGACGGAGAAGCTGCGGCTGCGGCTGCCGCTGCCGCCGAGGAGGCGGGCGCGCTGATCAAGGAGCTGGCACGCGAGCTGCGCACCATGGCAAGTCGGTGACCGCAAGGCTCAAGGCGTCGTTTCAGCAAGCAGGCGTTTTCGCCAGAGAGGGTGGATACAATCTGGTCAGGGAGCTGCGGATGAGGGCGAGGACGGAGAGGCCGAGTCGCTGCGACCGATGCGGGGCCGGGCGCTGGACCGCTGCACCTTGATCCACCCCGGGCCCAGTTGCGGCTGCTCTTCGTTGGCGGCGGCGGCGGCGGCGGCGGCTACGGCGGCCGGTGCTGGACGGGTCGAGGTGCCGGGATCGAGCTGCCGTTCGACCTCTTGGGCGTCCCGGTCGTCCTGGTCGTGCTGTTCGTTTTGCGACCTGGGCACGGCACTCGGCTCCGCGTCTGCCGTGTCTGCTGCTTGCGGCCGATGGACGTCGTCGCCCTGCGCGCTGTCGATTGAGGAGCGCGCCGAGTCGACGGCGGTGCTGCCCCCTCGTTGCTCTGCTGTTGCTTTGGGTCGAGGAGCGGCAGGGGCGGCGCTGGTCGACGACGCCTTTTTTCTTCCTGGTCTCGGCGGCCCTGGTGGTGCTCCCTCGACCCGTCAAGCCGCCACTGCCACCACCGCCGCCGCCATCGAGCCCCTGTTCGCCGTCATGCGCAGATGACGACCGGCCGTGAGCGTGGGCGGCAGCAGCAGCAGGCGGTGCTGCCGAGGCCGAGGTGGAAGGGGATGCGGCTGGCTGGGTCGTCCTGGGCGCGGCCGAGCGCGACTGAAAGGGGGCGAGGGCGAGGGCGAGGAACCAGTCGATCCACCTCTTCCAGCTTCGACGCCTCTTTGCGAGCATCTTTTCCGACCTCCTGCGCTCGAATGCGGCGCGGTATCGCTCGTAGCCGTCGCGAAAGTCGGACGAGACCTTTGTGGAAAAGATGAGTTCTCCGCGCGGGTTCTGGGACGGCGGGATGGGCGGGATGGCCGATCGCCGATGCGTCGTCCTCGCCCCCCCTCCTCCTCCTCCTGCTGCTGCTCCTGATGCTGCTGCTGCTGGTGGTGGCTTCGATCGTTGCGTCGTCGAAGAAGAAGCAGACGAAGGAGAGGGCGACTGCGACGAGGGCCAGAGGTAGGAGAGTGGCCAGGGGGAGCGACGGCGCGGGTCGACGCGGGTGTTGAGGTACATGTTGAACGAGCGGAGGGAGCGGTTGGCTTGGGGCACAAACTTGTTGGCGGCGCGGATGCGCTCTGCGTGCATGCCGCTGGCAAAGAAGAGGAAGAGGGTGGTGAGGCATATGAGGAGGAGCGAGAGGATAAAGTAGTGCAGCGGCACCGACTGGCGGTCGAATTGGGCCCGGGGGGCAAGGCGAGCAGGGAAGGGAGAGGAGGCGGGAGCCAGGGTGAGTAACAAGGGCGAAGGCGGGGTGCCGAGGAGAGGAGAGGAGAGGCAGGCGGGGGAAGGGAAGAAGGGCCACCTCGCTCACTTCTTTGCGGTCGATGAAGACGTGGTAGCTCAGAAAGACGATGAAGCCGACAAAGACGGCCAGCAGCGCTGACGGCGTGGCCAGTTGAGGCGGCGAGGGACGAGGGGGGCGAGGTGAGTTCATGGATCGAGTCGCAAAGTGTCTCCCCGTGTGGCGCCGGGCCGGACCACGACTCACACTCGTACTTGTTCTTGCGCGCCTCGAGGCGGGCGGCATTCTGCTTGAGGCGCTCCTCGAAGATGAGGAGGTCGCGGTAGGTGTTTGCGTCGGCCGCGGGCGTATAGGGCGGCAGGTGGGCCGTGGCGGCGTGGCCGTGTCCGTGGGCGTTGCCGTTGCGCTTGGACGCGGCGCGTTGGGCGTTTGGCATGTCGCTCCTGCCGCGCGGCGCGGTGGTGTTGCGTTTCGGTGGGCGAGGCCAGGTGGTGGTGGTGAGGGAGAGGAGGAGAAAACGGCGAGGATGCTGGCCCGACAAGGCGACTGTGGCTACGCCCAAGCCACCCTCGCCTCGCCCCTCGGGTGGCTGTGTGCGGTCACAGGCAGAGGCAGGTGGAGGGAGAGGGTGGCCCGACCAACACGCTTTCCAGGCCCAGGCTAGCTTGCAGGCTGGCTTGCAGGCTTCCCTTCTCTCTCTTTCTTCCTCTCCCTCTCTCTCCCTCTCCCTCCTCCTCGCCGTCTCCTTCTCCTGCTCCCTCTACCTCTTCCGGCCCCCGCCTCGCTCCGCTCACGATCTCGGCCGCCACTAGACGCTGCCCACAAGACCACCGTCCTGGCCCACCATGCCACCATCCTGATCCATACCACCACCACCACCACCCTCTGATCGACACCACACCCCGCTCGCCCCGCTGGCCTGCCGGCACCCCCTCCCCTGCTGGCCCATCATGAACAGCTCATGGACCCCGCTTTCACCCACAAAGCGCCACTCGCTCCTCCCCACCGCACTCTCCATCGACTCAATCCCCCCTGCCAGGTCCCACGCACCACCCGCATCGGCCCCCCTTGACCCTTTTGCCATCGGAAACCTCCCCTCGTCGGTCGTCCAGCGCATCTTTGAACATGTGCCCGTAAACGACCTCCACAAGTGCGCCCTCGCCGCACGGCCCCTCGCACGCTTCGTCGCAGACGAACGCCTCTGGGCACGCAGGCTAAACGCCCTCCAATGGTCACACGTAGATGGCCTCGACGTCGCCTACCGCCCTGACCTATCGACTCTCCCCATATCCGAGAGGCACAGAGGCAGCGCGAGCGGCAGTGCTGTCACTGCCAACAGCAGCAGCAAGCACGGCAATATCGCCACAGCCACTACCACCGCCCACTCCAGCACCGACGACGACTTCGGCGACTTTGAGACGGCCGCCTTGGACGCCGGCCCAAGCCGCAGCAATGGCAACCCCAACAATCACAGCGGCGGCGGCGGCGGCGACGACGACGACGACGACGACGACGATTTTGGCACCTTTGCCTCGGCCGATCCCGCCTTTGACCGCAGCGGGCAGAGCTTCTCCAACGCCCCTGTCTTCTCGTACCGCGCAGAGTCCAAGCTGCCCATGCCCTCGTCGGAGCCCAACTCGGCTTACCAGACCTTCAAGCGCATCGCCATTGCCCTCAAGCCCCTGCTCAAGTCGCTCGCCGACGAGCCCACGCCCACCGCCTCGCTCCTCTTTTCCCACCCGCGCCTCTCGTCGCTCAAGTCCCAGGCCACGGCCCTGGCCAACATCGCAGGCTTTACCGGCCCAACGGTGCTCGGCTACCTTCCTCCCGCTCCCCGCACCTCGGGCCATGCCGGCGACTCCAACGACCGCGACGACGCCGGGCTGGCCGAGCGCAGGGTGCGGCACGAGCGCGAGGCCGCCCTCGACCGCCTCCACGCCAACATCCGCGAGGCCGCAGACTACCTCGAGGGCGTCCTCCTCTCGGCGTTTGAGGGTGCAGATGCGCGCCGTTCCGACGCCGTCAGGGCGGGCGAGCGCGGCATCGAGGTGCAAAAGAGCGTCGACCGGAGCGAGGAGGCCATGCGCGAGCACGCCGGCCTCATCTGGCACCTGGCCCAGGCCATCAAGCGCATCTCGGGCCCCGCGCACCACGCACTCGACGTCCGCCTCGGCGATGCCATGTTCACCTACCTCGACGCCGCCGGCTCCTCGGCCGCCCTCTCATTCCTCGACAAGCGCGACGTTCTCTTCCGCCGGGTCGAGCACGACCCGGCCGGCAACATTGTCCCCTCGCCCGACGGGCCCTCGCTCGACTTTACCGCCATGGACAGCTTCATCAACGACGTGCTGGCCAGCGTCGAGCGCGACGGCTCGCTCGTCGCGCGCGTGTTTCCCGCAGAGCAGGACGTCCTCCTCGCCTTTGCCAGCCGCGTGGCCAACGAGATCGTGGCCGAGTATGTCAACGCCGTGCTAGCAAAGGCGCGCGCCATCTCAATCCACCTCTACCTCCAGGCCTGCGCCGCTACCTTCACCCAGGCTTCTCGCCTCGTCGAGGCTTTGACCTCGATCCAGCCCCGCAGCGCGCGCGTCACTCCGCAGCGGTGCGACGACGTCGTATTTGCCATGTGGGAGGTCCACCTGGACGACTACCTGCAGGAGGAGCGCGACTGGGTCAAGGAGGCCATGGCCCGGACGTGCGACGAGAGCGGCACCGTAAGTGGGGCGCGCACTGGGCTGCTTAGCGCCAGCCGGCCAGACTCGCGATCCTGTGCGATGCCGTGCTGACCGCCTCTTCTCCCGTCTTCCCTCTCTTTCTCATCGTCCATATCTCTGCCTCACCCCTCCTTCCTTCCCCTCCTTCCTTCAACGGTCCGACCGTCGCACCGACTGCTGCCCCGACATCCGACAGAGCGACAGCGTCTCGACCAACATGGACGCCGCCTTTCTGCGAGCCCACAACCCGGCTGCCGTCAAGCGCAACGTGCTGACGGGATTCAAGGACGTGCTGCTGATGCCCGTCACGGTGGTGCCACGCGCAGCGGGGGTTGTGGGAGGCGCCGTGATCCGGACCGCGGGCAGCGGCCTGTCGCAGCTCAACCCGCTCCGATGGCAGAGCAGCTCGACGCCGAGCAAGGGCACCGGCGGCTCCACGACGCCCTCGGGCCTCTCGCGCACGGGTACGCCCTCCAACGCCGAAAAAGGGTACGTCGACTTCAGCAGCGGCGGCGGCGGCGGCGACGGCGGCGATGGTTTTGCGCTGGGCGACGATCCGGACGACGACGACGACGACGAAAGCCTCGGCGAAAAGGCGGCGCGCATGCCGTTCGAGCAAGACAACGAGTGGGCGTCAGAGATTGATGCCTGGGCCGGCTCATCGTCGAGCCGGATGGAGAAGACGGCGTCGGGCAACGCGGTTTCATTGACGACGGCGCCGGCATCGCGCGGCGAAAAGAGGCAGTCGCTCAAGCCACCGGCATCAGCGGCGGGAACGGCGACGGCATCGGGGAAAGCATCACAAAAGGCGACGACGACGACGACGACGGCGTCTCCGTTTGCACGGCTGCAGCTGCTGCTGAGCCTCGATACGGCGCTCCAGCTGATCCAGCTGAACCGCGAGTCGCTCAAGCGGATGGAGACGTTTGCGCGCTTCTCGGGCGCGTACGGCGCGCGCGTCAAGGAGGAGATGGAGGAGATCGCCGTCCTCTTCTTCCAGTGCCTGGGCGAGAAGCACGTCAGCCCGGGGTTCGACAAGGCGTCGGCGCAGATCAAGTCGTGGAAGCCGTCCGAGCAGGCGGGCAAGGAAAAGGCCGGCGCACCGGCGGCCGGTGCCGCTGCTCGCAGCGGCACGCAAAGCGACAGCGACGGCGACGTTGGCGATGCGCAGGTGGCTCCGCTCGTCTACTTTTTCGAGCTGGTGCACGTGGGCGACACGATTGCGCAGATGGTGCAGGTCTACTACGACCAGGAGCTGAGCCGGCACATTGACCGGACCGACTTCCTCAACGGCGTCGTGCGGGAAAAGAAGCGCTTCGAGTCGGCGCTCGACGAGAGCGTGGCGAGCGGGCTGAATGTGGGCGTCGACCTGCTGCTGGGCCAGGCCGAGTGGCTCATCACGACGCACCAGGACGCGCGCGACTACTACCCACTGCCGGGCGCCGACCTCGACCTGGCCAACCCGACGCGCGCGTGCCGCGAGTGCGTCGAGTGCCTGCGCCTCCACTGCCGCATGCTCGTCGGCAGCACCGACAAGACGGTGCTCGAGGTGTTTTACCAGGAAGTCGGGATACGCCTGCATGCGTGGGTGTCGGCTGGCCCCCAATCTCGCTCTCCTCTTGCCCCCTTTGGCTCCTCACTCACTCATCGTTCCTCCTTTCCCCTCACCCCTCTCTTCCTTCCCCTTCCCGTCGTCACCGTCACCACGATGGCACAGGATAATCTGCAAGCACCTCAAGCGACAAATCATCTCGCTCGACGGCGGCTTCAAGGTGATCTGCGACCTCAACGCCTACCACGCCTTTGTGGCGTCGCTGCGCCAGCCCAGCGTCACCGTCTACTTTGACGCGCTCAAGATGCTCGCCAACCTCTACATCATCGACAACCCAAAGGAACTCGCGTCCATTGTCCGCGACGCCTCCATGTTCAACGGCACCCTGTCCCCCGAGGACCTCTATGAGTTTTTGCAGGTGCCGTGTCCATCCCCTCCCCGTCCCCTCCCTTTTTGGCCCAGCACGACTGGACGCGGGCTTCCCTTCCCTTTTGAGGCCGCCGATGGTGCATGCGCTGACGAGGATGTCTCCCGTCACCCCTTACTCTTCCTCTCTCTCTCTCCCTTCCCATCGTCATCGGCTCGCGAACGACCAGGCACGATCGGACTTCAAGTCAATCGAAAAGGCCATCGACAAGGAGATATACGGCTTCAAGGCCACCGAGGACTGCTCCGTCATGTAGACTCCCCCTACCTCCTCACCTTGCGCCTCACATTCGAGCCTCGAGCCTCGACATCGACATCGACATCGACATCGACATCGACATCGACGAGCGATGGGCTCGGCCTGCATCTGCCCTCGCCCCATTACCCCCGGATCTTTTTTCCAATGCGCCGGCCGCAGCCGGGCGGCTTACACACGCAGACGGAGACGACGACGACGAGATCGACAAGAGGACCCGGAGAGACCCCGGACACCTCGCTTTTTTTGCATCATCTTCTACTACCAACGGCGATGTCGACAACGACGAGCGACCCCCCGGGCACGGAGGACGGGACGGGCTGGGCTAGGCCGCCCGCACGACGCCTGGACGACGCCGCCTCTGCCTCTCCGGGGCCCCCACCTAGGCGGCCTCGGCAGCCTCGACGGCCTGGTTGACAATCTTGGCCGGCTGCTCGATGTTGGAGAGCGACGAGAGCACCGCCTTGAGTCCGGCGGCGGTGATGTCGACGTCGATGCCGACGCCCCAGAAGCCGACGGCCTTTTTGCTGCCCACCTCCTGGACCTCGTCGGCGCTGATGAGCTCGACGTACGACGCCGCCTGCGCCTTGGAGTGGTTGCCCGAGCGCTGCTGCTGCTGCTGCTGCGGCCCGCCGATGGCCTGCGACCCGGGCTTGGTGATGGCGTGCTCGCTGTACTCGCGCACGTTGGCCTTGATGCCAAAGGCCGACTCGATGGCGTCGAGGAAGGCCGACAGCGCGCCGTTGCCCCGGCCCGACACGTCGTGCACCTGGCCGTCGCGCGACACCTTGCCCGTGAAGCGGCGGTGGCGGGGCGTCTGGGCGCCCTCCATGACGTCGTCGTCGGCGGCGGCCGACGACTCGTTGTCGTCGGAGAGCGAGAAGCTCTTGAGCTGGTACCTTGCCTCGTTCTTGCCCTGCAGCGAGGCGAGGTGGTAGGTCTGGTTAAAGATGCGCGTGATGTCGTCCGACGTCATCTCCTTGCCGGTGCGGTCGGCCACCTCCTGGACCACCTGGTAGAAGGCCACCTGCATGCGGCGCGGCAGGTCGAGGCCGAGCGACTGGGCGACGAGGTAGGCGACGCCGCCCTTGCCCGACTGCGAGTTGACGCGGATGACGGCCTCGTAGGTGCATCCGAGGTCGGCCGGGTCGATGGGCAGGTAGGGGATCTCCCACGTCGGGTCGCCCTCGGCGTTGCGCTTGGCCTGGGCGGCGAAGCCCTTTTTGATGGCGTCCTGGTGCGAGCCGCTGAAGGCGGTGAAGACGAGGTCGCCGGCGTACGGGTGGCGCGGGTGCACGGCAATGTCGTTGCACCCGGAGACGACCTCGACGACCGACTCGAGGTCCGACAGGTCGAGCTCGCCCGGCTGGATGCCCTGGCAGAAGAGGTTGAGGGCGAGGGTGACGATGTCGACGTTGCCCGTGCGCTCGCCGTTGCCAAACAGGCAGCCCTCGACGCGGTCGCCGCCGGCCAGCAGGCCGAGCTCGGTGGCGGCGACGGCGCAGCCGCGGTCGTTGTGCGGGTGGAGCGAGACGATGATCTCTTCGCGCCGCGAAATGTGGCGGCAGAAGTACTCGATCTGGTCGGCATAGTGGTTCGGCGGGCCGATCTCGACGGTGGCGGGCAGGTTGAAGATGATGCGGTTGTCGGCGCTGGCCTTGCCCCACGCCTCGCGGACGGCCTCGCACAGCTCGACGGCAAAGTCCATCTCGGTCTGGGTAAAGGTCTCGGGCGAGTACTCGTACTTGAAGTTGGTGCCGCCGTTTTCGGGTTTCGAGTAGTGGTCGACGAGCTGGCGGACGATCCTGGTGTGGCGAACGGCGAGCTCGATGGTCTGCTCCTTGGAGTTGCCAAAGACGACGTTGCGGAAGAGGGGCGACGAGGCGTTGTACATGTGCAGGATGACGTTTTTGGCGCCGCGGATCGACTCAAAGGTGCGGTGGATGAGCTCCTCGCGGGCCGGGGTGAGGACCTGGAGGAAGACGTCGTCGGGGACCATGCCGTTTTCGATAATGTGGCGTACGAAGCCAAAGTCGGTGTCGCTGGCCGAGGGGAAGGCGACTTCGATCTCCTTGAAGCCGACGTCGACGAGCTTCTGGTAGAATTTGAGCTTTTGCTCGCCCGACATGGGGTTGATGAGGGCCTGGTTGCCGTCGCGCAGGTCGACCGACGTCCAGATGGGCGACGACTGCGGCACCTTGGACGGCCACGAGCGGTCCGGCAGGTCGAGCGGCGTGTACCGCTTGTACTTGTTGCCGGGGATCATGGGCGCCATCTTGGACTGGGCAGAGGAGCGAGGCGCAGGGCAGGGCAGGGCAGGGCAGGGCAGGGCAGGGGGCTATCTCTTCTGGCTGCGGGATCGACCGAGGTGAGTGGACTGGGCGCGCGGGTCGAGTCGAGTCGAGTCGAGTCGAGGGTAGCGGGCGTCGTGTTTCTCGCTAGCGGCGATGGCGATGCCGTGGTGATAGGTGAGGTGAGGCGGGGTGGGTGGCAGGGTAGCGTGGGCGGAGCAGCGGGGCGGAAGAAGGTGGTCGAGAAGAACGAAGGCGGCGAGCAGTACGTGCCCAACCCACCTGCATCCGACCCTCGACGCTGGGCCAGCTGGCCTGGCGGGTTGACTCGACTCGACCCTCGACATCGGGCCTGCCCTGCCCTGCCCTGCCCTGCTCTGCCCTGCCCTGCCGGCCTTCCGTCCACCGGCCCCGAGTGCCGGCCCTTTCAGGTGCCAGCCTGGCCAAGCCGCGCCCGGCCTGGCCCAGCCGGCGGCCAGGCCGACGACGGCGAAAAAGGAAAAAATCCAAAGTGGAGCAGCACGACACGCACCCAGCGGCGGGTCGCCCTCACCCCGCATGACTCGAGGCGGGCGCACGGTGCCACGGCTCAGCTGCCACGACGACCCCACCAACCCCCCATGATCACCGACATCATGGTCACCGACATCATGCTCATCTGCCAGCCCCACCATCTCCACCGCCGGACCACAGCGGCGGCGATGTCGACGGCCACGCCCGACACAGGCTCGGAGTTCTGCATCGCTGGCTGCAGGGCCACTCTGTCGCTGCCCCAGCAAAAAGGCGGCACCATGTCAAGGCATCATTCTCAATCGGCCGACCGTCGTTCGAGGGAGCCGCTGCGACGCGACGAGGCTGCGCGACGCGGACTGGACCGGCGACGGGCATCATGCCGCCGCCGTCGCGAGGGGCGAGGCGTCAAAGGCGACATTCTCCTGCACCTTGCCGTCAGCCGTCTTGATGGTGATGGTGCCGTCCTGGTTGCCAAAGTAGGCCGCCTTGCACATGTTGCAAAACAGGCCGACCTCGACCACGCCCGTCAGCAGCTTGATCTTGACCAGCAGCTCCGACGGGTCCTTCATGTACGAAAGCGGGAACGGCGCATCGATGCAGAAGTTGCTGCGAGGAGAGCGCAGCCGACGCCGGGCGGGGGGGGCGGTGACCGCCAGGCAGGGATGGGATCCGGGTCAGCGCCACGAGCGCGACAATGCGATGCGACTCGACTCGACTCGACTCGAAAGGGGCAACGGTAAGACGAGGCGAGGCCTGCTCCGACCACTCACCCATTGTCGGTCACGACGGGCCCGGCCTTGGCCTTGCCCATGCGCAGCTTGGCGTCGGCGCTGCCCATGCGCTTGAGGTTCTGCAGCACCTTTGCAAACGCAAACGGCGCCACCTCGATCGGGATGCCCTGCGTCCACTTGGTGCCGAGCTGCGTACCGTTCTTGCGGTAGTCTGCCACGACGATAAAGTCGTTGGCCGCTTCGGCCAGCACCTTTTCCCGCAGCTGGCAGGCGCCGCCGCCCTTGATGCAGTTGAGAGCGTTGTCGACCCTGGCAAGGAGGAGGCGGAGCAGGGCATGGCCGGCCGTACAATCAGCATCGGTTGACGTCGTTTGGACGTCTTGGCGAGCAGAGACGACGGCCGCTACTCACTCGTCGGCGCCATCGATGGTCACATCGATCGAGGGGAACGAGTCGACGTCGGCCACCCGCAGGCCTACATGCGACCAAGGCGCAGGACGGAGCCAAGCAGCAAGATATCGAGGCCGTCAGCGGGACATTTAACGACGACGAGGGCGGCGACGGAAACGAGGGCGGGCGCAACGGGACCGACACTGACCAGCATCGATGATGAGCTCCTTGGACTGGAAGCCTGTGGGCACGAACCACCGCTTCTCGTTGACGGCGGCGCCCTGCTGCGCGATCCTCTCGACGACGTACGGCACAGTCGAGCCTGCAAGCGGGCAGGCGGGCAGAGTGCAAGGGTGTGGGTCAGCAGGGGGGGTCAAGAGATGCTGCACGCGTGCGTATGCTTGGCCGAGATATCTCTGCGGTGCAGGCAAACTCACCGGAGCCGATGCCGATGACGACGTGGTTGGGCTTGACGTGGTTGTCGACGGCGGCGTAGGCGGCAGCGCGCTTTGCGCTCTCGACGGGGTCGAGCTGGCGAGCCTGGGAGCTCTTCTGGGCCGAGCTGTTGGCATCGCTGTTGGCAGCGGCGGCGGCCTGTTGAGCAGACATGGTCAGGCGGCGGCGAGTGGGTTGCGGTTGCGGCGAGGGGCGAAGGCCGAAGCGCGGAAGCGGGTCGATGCGAAGGTGGGCGGTCGAGGGGGCGTAGGCCGGGGCGACGACGGAGCGAGCGAGACTTGGCAGGTGGTGGTGGCTAGGACGGCAGACTGCGTTGTAGGCGACACGGAGGAGCGATCGATGAGGGGCGTGCAGCATGTATGGAGGGTGGTCGAGGCGATGGTGGCGGTGGTGGTGGATCGATGGCTGCGAAGAAGAGGCTCGACCGGACCGGACCTCGACCTCGACCGTGCCTGGCCGCTGTCGATCTTTGCCCGGATCTCGATCTCGCCCGCTCGCCTTTCTTCTCGAGGGCCGAGGGCCTTCTGCCTGGTGACGACGCCAGCCAGCCAGCCAGTTGGCCCGCCCCTCCTGCCTTCTCCTGCCCGCCCCTCTGCCTGCCTGCGTGCCAGTTCTGGGCGGGCGAACCCAAAGTGGAGCAGTCGCCAGCACGGGCCAGTCAACTGGCCATCGGGCCGAGCGCCCGATCGAGCACAGCCCCAATCGCCGTGCAAAGCGCCTGGCCGGAGGAGCGACAGCCCAGACCGGACCCGGCTCCGGCCCGAGCCCAGCCCAGCTCAGGGTTCGAGGGTTGAGGGTGAAGCAGGCGGGCAGGCAGGCTAGGGTTTCGCTTCACCCACGCCCAGCTGGGTAATGCGCACCGCCTCACTGGTGGCAGCCCGCGCCCGCCCTCGACCCCCTTTCGGCCCTCCGCTCGGCGACGGCAAGCGCGAGCCAGCCAGTCAGCCTACACACCAAACCAACGGCCGAGTGGGTTCGTTCGTTTGTCAACACAAGGCGTACGTCGAGCAAACCAACGACGCGGAGCCAAGAGACAGAAAAAAGGGGATGCGACGGGGCCAGGCCGCCGCCGCCGCTCGACGGAGGGCGTCGCACGATGTCGATCCAGGACGGCGTGCGACAGCAGCCTGCCCGCCAGGCACCGGACCGCTACCGCCCCCTCCTCCGCCCGGCGGCGGAGGCTAGCACGTACGGTAGACGGGCCTGCGGGGCGCAGGCGGGGCGGAGGCAGGAAGGCAGGCAGGCGCACAAGCTAAGCGCGCGGGCTGTCTGGCTCCCTGGCTCGGGCTAAGTTAGGGGAGGCCGGTCGGTGGCTGGCTCACGGAGCGAGCGAGCGTGCGTCTGCTCTGATTTTTTTGATTTTTTGCCTTCGAGCCTGGCCTGGCCTGGCTGGGGCTGGTGGCTGGACCCTCTTGCTCTCTCGCTCTTCCGCTCTCTCTGGCGGGCTGGCTCGGGCTGACCAGGCCGGCCTGGCCTGGCCTGGCCTCCATCTTTGACCCTGGGCTGGCTGGCGGGCAGGCTGGCTGGCTGGCTGGCTGGTTGGACGCAACCCTAACCCTCACTCGCTCTGGCTGCGCTCCGCCTCGCCTCGCCTCGCCTGGCCCTTCCCTAAAGCAGGCCCTCGAACGGCAGGCTGTCCCATACTGCCCCTCGTCCTCGTGCCCCATCTTCACCCTCATCCACATCCTCACATCCTCTGCTTCGCCGTCGCTTTCGTCCTCACTCACATCGACCATCTTCTCGGCGCTCTGCAGCCCGCGCACCGCCCCTCGAACCAGCGCCACCTCTGGCGTCTCTTTGCCAGCCTCGCCCCACGACCCTTGCGCCACCCGCCCGTCCTGGACAAGCTCACGCCTCCATACCGCCATCTATCCTCTCCTCTTCTCTTCAACGACTGTCGACACCGCCAGAAGTAGCGCCACCACCGCAACGCCCCTCCATCCACCCCTTTCCGCGCACAGCGCCACCTATTGCCCGTGCAGAAGCATCCGCTCGCAGTCCACCAAAAGTCGCCATGCCCGCAGCTTCGACGCAGTCAGAGACCCAGGACGGCTCCTTAGAAACAGGTACCGCCGCCACCGAGCCCGGCGATAAACCACCGCCTCACGTCGCCAACCTACCTAGACCCTTGAATCACGTCGACAGCTCCTCCACCATCACCAACACCAGCACCGGCAACGGCAACCTCCCTCGCGCCGCCGGCGCGCTGGCCGAGTGCGATCCCAAGCCCCTCATGACCAACGCCTACGCCGACCGCATCCTCTCGGCCGCCGCCCAGCGCGAGCCTCGCCCGTACAACCCGGGCGAGGAGCGCGAGATCCGCGCCCGCGAGATGATGGTCGCCTCGGACAGCGAGACCGAGTCCAACCTCTCCCGGCCCCCCTCTCCGGACCGCCACCGATACCCCAAGCACCGACTTAGTGGCCTCCAGAGCAAGGATCAGACCGTCGTCAAGCACGGCCATGCCCAGGACTCGTCCGGAGGCGGCAGCGGCGCCATCGTCAGCTCCGACCTCACTTCGAGGCTCGAGCTGGCGAGGGAAAACAGCCCCTTTGACATACGCGCATCCATCGCCGGCAGCGACGGCCGCGCCCTCTCGGCCCAGCAGGAGGCCATCCTCAACGCCGCCCCCACCAGCGCCGGCACCGGCACCGGCACGGGCACCGCGACGGGAACGGGCACCAGCGCCTCGTCGCCGCCGTCTTCGCACCCGTCGTCGAGGCGCCCCTCGCTCGCCAACGGCCAGCAGCAGCAGTCGTCGTCGGGTGGCGCCGTCAAGCAGTCGTCGCGAGCCTCTTCGCCTCCGCCGCGCGCCATGTCGCCCTCCAAGGCCCCCGCCTCGACCAAAGTGAGCCACAACACCCTCAACGGGCCCAACGCCTTTAGCCAGGCGGCCGCCGCCGCCTCGGCAGCAGCGCCGGCAACGGCAACGGCACCGGCACCGCCAGCGCCGAAGCGCACGCCCACGTCCGAGGTTCCGCCCCGTGCGTCCGGCGGCGACAGCAAGGACAAGGAAAAGGAAAAGGCCAAGGAGCACAAGGGCATGCTGCGCCGGATGCTCTCGAGCGCCACGGGCGGCGGTGGCGACAAGGACCGCCACCCGGCGGATCGCGACAGCCCGGTCAAGGAGCGGCCGTCGGCGAGGGTGGCCAGCCAGCAGAGCAGCGGCCACATCTCGCCCGCGCGCTCCCACTCGGCGAGCCGCGAGTCGACGCCGCCCACCAGCCCGCGCAACGAGCTGGGCGATGCCGGCGGCATCCTCTCGTTCAAGAACTTTGGCATCCAGAGCCCGCCGACGAGCCAGCCGCCGAGCCGCAACGTGTCGCTCAAGCGCAATGAGGCCTCGGGCGGCGGCAGCAAGGACGCGGGCGCGTCGTCGGGCGCCGACGCCAAGACGGCGGGCGGCGACAAGCTGACGGCGGCGGCGCTGCGCGACTGGGACGCCAAGGCCAAGCCCGAACCCTCGCGCAAAAAGTCGGACCGCGGCGGCAAGGACGGCGACGCCAAGTCGACGGCGAGCTCGACGCTGCGCGACATGATCATGGGCAGCGCGCCCAAGCTGTCGCGCCGCGGCTCCAACACCAGCCACGGCAACAAGTCGGACGGCGGCAGCAAAAAGGGCGGCAGCGCCGCGGGCGGCGGCGGCGGCGAGGCGAGCCTGCTGAAAAAGTACGGCGTCTGCGAAAAGGCGGCCATCGGCAAGGGCGCCACGGCCGTGGTGCGCCTGGCGCACAAGTGGGACCGGTCGACCGAAAAGCTGTACGCCGTCAAGGAGTTCCGCAAGCGGCGCAAGAACGAGTCGGAAAAGGAGTACGTCAAGAAGCTCACGTCCGAGTTTTGCATCTCGTCGACGCTCCACCACATCAACATTGTCGAGACCGTCGACCTGGTGCAGGACGAGAACCGCCACTGGTGCGAGGTCATGGAGTACTGCCCGGGCGGCGACCTGTACGCCGCCATCAAGCGCGGCGGCATGTCGCAGGCCGAGGTCGAGTGCTGCTTCAAGCAGATCATCAACGGCATCAGCTACCTCCACTCGATGGGCGTGGCCCACCGCGACATCAAGCCCGAGAACCTGCTGCTCGACGCCTTTGGCCACATCAAGATCACCGACTTTGGCGTCAGCGACGTCTTCCGCATGTGCTGGGAGAAGACGACGCACCACAGCAAGGGCCTCTGCGGCTCCGAGCCCTACATCGCCCCCGAGCAGTTTGAAAAGAACGAGTACGACGCCCGCCTGGTCGACGTGTGGGCCGCCGCCGTCGTCTTTTACTGCATGCAGTTCCAGGAGCTGCCGTGGCGCGTCGCCAAGATGTCGGACCCGACGTTCAAGGAGTTTGTCCACCAGTACGTCGGCAGCTCGTCGCCCTCGCCCCTTTCGAACCTGTCACCACGCGAGTGCAGGCCGCTCCTCAAGCGCATGCTCTGCCCGGACCCCAAGTCGCGCTGCATGACCGAGGATATCCTCAAGGACCCGTGGTTCATGTCGGTGCCCCTCTGCGAGGAGGGCAAGGCCAACGACCACGTCCACCAGATCACGCCCCACAACAACTGATTACCGCTCCCCGAGCCACCAGCAGCGGCGGCGGCGGCGGCAGCTGGATCCGCCTCGACATTCTTTCTCGGGCCCGCCCGCTAGCTCGCTCGCGCCGGGTCTGCCTCGACGTTCAACGTTCTTGCTCGCTCGCTCGGTCGCCCGCTCGCGTGTCGGCACGTCTACATTGCCGCCCGCCCTCTGTACATAACCTCCTCTCTCTTCGCATCCGCGAGCCAGCCGCAGCAGTCTGCCGACCCAGCGAGGTCGCACAGCCCCACCCTCATCCCCATCCCCATCCCCATCCCCGTTCCCTTCGACTCGTCATCGACTCACGACGCGAATACGACACCGGCAGCGAGCAGCGGCACCGCAGCGCTAGCCCATGACATGACACTCTGTCCAGCCTTCCGTCGTCGTCGTCGTCGTCGTCGTTGTCGCCGCCGCCGTCGCCGCCGCGTGCGCCGCTCCCGGCCTTTTGCGCCCCTTTTACCCATGACAAGCGTCAAGCACTCTCCTTCGACGGCCCTTCGTCGTCCTGCACCTTAGCATCCTCTCCCTCTCTCTTGCCCTCTCGTCCTCTCGTCCTCTCGTCCTCTCGTCCTCTCGCCGTCTCGCCCTCTTCGTCGATCCCTGCATGCATATTTCCCCTTCCTCCCTTCCTCGCTCAAGCCCTCGTTCCATCTTCGTCCGGCCGACGAAGACGCCCACTCCGCAGGCGAAGCCGCGCGGCATCGACCCCGCCCTCCTGCCCGTTTGTCGAGGCTCGGGCCAGTGTACGTAGGGCCCGGAGACCGGTGCGAGCGGCGCTGGTCCGCCTGCCGTAACTCGCGCGCGTGTGCTTGTCTGATCGAGAGGGGGAGGAGAGGAGCGAGCGCCGCCCGCAACGACGGCGTGCGCGACCGGGCGGAGAGGCCGATTGCGCGCCGCCGCAGCTTGCCGCAGCAGCCGCGCCACCCCCGCCGCCGGTCCATGACAGCCTCGAAGGTCCTCGGACCTGTTCAAACTGCAATCTTACAGCAGAATAGCATAAACTTCAGCTCCTGCCATGTGGAGTAAGGCTTCGCCACACCGGAGACAACCCTCAAACACACCAGGTCCCAGAGCACATCATGGAGGGGGCCAAACCCAGCATCTGTGCACTTGACCCAAAAAAGTTTTGATACCCCTGTCCAAATGGATTCCTACGCAATCATCCCCAAACCTATCTCATCATACTCACCCTGAACAGGACAACATACCAAGGCCCTTTCAGTAAGGCGGCGTAAGCGGTTGCCAAGTTAGCCACCCCAAAAACTGCCTTGAAACCAGGTTCACACCTGCTTTTGAGAGGGTAGATGCAAATTGTCATTTTTGAGACCCTTCTGATGCCGCTGGAGCACTGCAAGGCATCTCATCTGGGGTTTTGGAGGGTGGTGAATATGATGGTGTTATCCCCAGGCGCTCCTACCCGACTTTCAGTTTGGGCATGGGTGGAAGGCAGGGGTAGAAGCTCCTTTTTTGGGTGGGTCCTGGGCCTTTTCTTCCTCCTGTGTAATCAGGCGTTACTACAGGAGAACTTAATCAGTCATTCAATGTAGCCCTGTTCCTCTGCTACATGTCATGACAAGCTCAGCATCCGTGCGTTTGGGAACGCATATTCCTCAACGCCAAAACGGAAGTCAAAACCCACTTCTACTTTTTTTGCACTGAAGCAAATCATATATATCTCTTGACCCAGGGCAGCTATGTGCCTCCTGAAAGGCTCGTTTTGTAGTCTTAGGGTTAGGGTTACAAGGTGTTCTGTGGGAAAAACATGGTAGGGCTGCTTATTGAAAGTTGTTCAAAAGTCATTTCTGAACAACTTAGGGTTACAAGGTGTCTTGAGAAATAAACCAAGTAGGGCTGCATAATGAAAGTTGTTCAAAAGTCATTTCTGAACAACTTTTGAATAGTAGCCCTACTCAGTTTAGACTGCCAATTTTCCGGTAGACGCTCCGCAAAAGTGTGCGCTTTTGGGGTCGAA